AGATTTGTAATACAAAAATATCATGCTTTATTATTTGTTAAACATTGTCAATTGATGATTTTTTACCATTTTTGCCCTGCTGATCCTACTAATTTTCACTGGTTTATTCATGGATCGTCAATTAATATTATTATTTAGCAATGAATTAATCTTAACATAGTAATGTGTGTTTTTTTTATAAAATCTATATCATGTGAATCCGTTGTAATGTGATTAGTACTTATTACTAAAATCCTACCAAAAAATCCATTGTCTGTTGAAACGCAATTTAAATATAAAATCTGTTGAAACAAAAATCTGTTGAAACGAGGGTTTGACTGTATAATAAATGATTTCATGGGTATCAATGAATACTTACCTCCTATATAAATAGTTTAATGGTTAATAAATTATATTTAAAAAAAAAAAATTTATATTCTTAAATTTACCAGTCTGAAATCTCTCATAATGTTCTTTCATCCCAATTATAGATGCTGGTCGCAATTCTTGGTGATGGTTGCAACCATATTTGTGACATATAAAAATGGTTTGCGACACCTGGTTGCAACCACTTTGCGACCACTTTGGTTTCCTTTTTTGGATTGCGACATGGAACACTAATCCCAATGCCATCAATTAATAGTTCTATCCCCTATTGATACTCTTGGATGTAAAAATCAATTATACCATCATCACTAAAAATCTTCCTGATTTCTGGCAATACACATGCATCTTCTGACAGACATTCATACAAACTATGATACATCTCAGCTTGCCAAGCTCTTTCAAGTACCTTCCTACCATCCTTTGAATGGCTAAAACTTCTGTTCAAAACTTTTTGATTTAGATTAGAAAGAGCTAATTTCACCAAGTCATATAAAGCAAATTTATTATCAACATCATCTTCATCACTATTAATAGGTGTTTTTGATGATGTTATTTGTAATGATGTTGTTTGTGATGATGTTGTTTGTGGTGATGATTTTGTTTGTGATGATGATGTTGTTTGTGATGATGGTATTGGCTTGTTCTATAATTAAATAAAAGAAAAATAAACAATATTAATTTTTTTTTTCTTTTTTTAAAATTTATTATATATAACATATTATTGTTTTCAGTAAAAAACCAAAACTAGCATATGAAAATACAAAATGGGTCAGTATACCATTATTAAACAACTGAAGGCACAATAAGTGGGTCAGTTTTTAGTATACTGAAGGCACAAAATGTATCCATATGCAATTGTTAAAAAGCGTTATATATTGTATATCATCTTTTTTCCCATCATGTATATATATATATATTTTTTTATCATGTACATACTATTTTTTTTTCATCATTATATATATATGTGTGTGTTAATAAATTCTTTCATTTTGAACATATACATACATTTTTAAGCATTCCAGCTACTCTTCTATTATTTTCATCCTTGTCATTTTTAATTATTTCATTCAATTGTCAGTGATAATTTCTATATATTAAATTATTGTCTTTATATCCAATTATAAACATAAACCTATGAAAAGAATCAAAGTTCCATTCATCAGAAGGTGTTTCTATGAAGTAGTTCTTAATGCATGTTCCAATCTTCATTTTTTTAGATGCCTCCATTTTAAAAAGGCCATATTTTAATGCTTTCTTGTTTAAAAAAAGAATGACCATAAAATCATAGTTTTAGATATAAGACATGTTTTTGACTGTTTAAAAAAGTTAAAATTTTTTTTCGTATCATGCAAATATGGTCCAGATAATCATTTTTTTAAAATCTAAATTATTATACATGTGGTAGAGATACATCACCAATTCTTGATTTCTTTATTAATTAACAATCAAGAGATTATTTGAAATTTGTATAGTGATCTAATAATGACTATATGATTTAAGATCTGCATTTTAGTTTTGAAATCACGTGAATCCGGTATAGAGAGAGGGTTTTACATAGAATGTTTTCGGGGTGCTGTCCGTTATACATTATATAAAATTTAACTAATAAAATCCGTTATAGAAAGAGGTTTTAAATAGTAAAAAATTGGGTCAGAATTTTTTGTCCGTTATAGAGAAAAATCCGTTATAGAGAGAGTAAACTGTATATATATCACGTATCACGAATTAAACTCAATGATTGGGTCATGTGATTTTATAATCCTATGACACCAAAGAATATCATCGCTATTTTTGGATTTGAAGATTTGGCAGTGAAATGCAGCATTTGATGGCACACACCATATAAAGAGATTTTCATTACATGAACAAAATTTTGGGAACCAAGCATAGCAGTTTTCTGTTATTATTATTAAGTCACAATCGATTGGCAAATAGTAATGTATTTGTTTAAACAATAGATAGTGTAACCATTTTGACATTTGTAGTTTTGGGCTTGGCGAAATTTGCAATTTATGAAAATATCTGGAGATGGGAAATTGCATGAAATTTCAAAATTTCATGCATTGCATTTTTTAAATTTAGAATATATATATTAAGAATCCTTAGAGATGTGACATGCGCATGAAAAAAAATCATGTGCATTATGCGCATGTAATGTGCGTTGCATTTTTTTTTTCGTGTGCATGTCACATCTCTAGAAATACCACCTTCCCGGAAGTTATAATGAGGATTCCTTACAAAAAACTTTTACTAAATGCGCAAAAATATTTCACTATATTTTTTTGCAAAAAGTAATTAATTAAACGATAAGATTTTTTAGAAAGATGATTGATGAACTTCACAAAAATTTTTCTAGTATTTTTAATTCGTTGACATCACATCTATAATGATCGGAATTAAAAATCTATAATTATCATGTAACAAAATCATTTGACTCGCCTACTAATTTATCCATCACCTAATATTAATATAAAAAATGATTTTTCGGTTAGTGATTATTAAAGGCATAACCTGATTTTTAAGAGTTGTTACTAAACAATATTAAATTTTTTTATTTACTTTTTTACATTAGGGCATTGACCACAAACTTTGACACAATAAACACAAGAAAAAACTTGGGAAAATTAAAAAAAATTTTCTTGCATTTTATCTCATCAACAATATCTTGCGTAACTTTTTTCCCTATTACAAGGTTACATGATTTTAATTAACTGCATAATTTACATTTGAAAAATGAAAACAAGGTTTAATTCTTTTTGCTTTAGTGTTTTTAAATAAATCAAAGCAGTAAACGTATTGGATACTATCATTGCAAATAAATAAATATGTATAATATCATGATTATATAAGTTAAATTCATATGATAGGTGATAACAAAATAGTACTTTATTTTTAAATTTCCCGCTTTTATTAATTAATATTAATTAATTTAATGCTAATATTTTGACAAAAACGTGCTTTTGACATTTTTATTTATTCTTTAAATGTTGCGTGTAACATCTAAATAATTCCTTTTTTTTTTCATGTGAAGAATAAAACAATATTACGTAATATTGGTTATTGGTTATGATTGGATAAATTAGTTGTAACAATTGTGGCTTCTTGTATCTTAAGTGCACCCACCCTCTCTAATGCATTCCTCTAAATGCGCACCTTCTCCAAGGGGGTGTACTTGGAGGGGGTTGACTGTGGTAACAGACTGCGGGCGGACATCAATTATAAAGTGGCGTTAGCTGAAATTGTTTTTGAATAAATAATATACTATTACTATTTTTTTGTCGTGTAACTCGTACAAATTTAGAAATTCTTTTAAATTTGACAACAATGTTACACGTGCCCGTTGCTCCTGTTCAATTTTACACACTAATACTATCTATGCTAAAAGAAAAAGGTTAAAAATTATTTTAGTTTTTATGGTTCTGAGATCAAAAAATTTTAAATGTGATCAATCCAAGATTCCATATTTTAGCTTTTAATAAAATTTTTTTTAGGTTCTGAAATATACGCATACAGTCAAACCTCGGTACCAACGGATTCGTGAAAAACTGCGTTTTAAAATTCGTTATACCAAAATTACCAATCACGTTTCAATTCGTTGTAACGTGAATTTAATTATAATTCGTTTAAATTGTATAAAATTTCACAATGTTTGCTCAGATATTGTGGAGAAATGCAAAACGTTTAAAAAATCTTTATTATTATTGAACTGAGGCAGAATTCCTATTAGTAATACAACTCAATTATTCGTTTTATTCGTTTTATTCGAATTATTCGAATTATTCGTTTTTTTTTATTCGATTATTCATTTTATTCATTTATTCGAATTATTTGTTTTATTCGAGTTTTTTATTCGTTTTATTCGAATAGAAACTCAAAGTCGAGCAGGCTCGAGTTAAAACTTGAATTTTCAAGTTCGAGTTGAGTTCAATAAATAGGCTCTTGGATTGTTTTTTAAATAATGTGCATAAATAAAATAAAAAGTATTATGAAATAAATCATTTGTTACCTGGGAAAATTTATGTAACATCAAGCTCGAGCCGGCTCGGCTTTAAGAAAGACTCTCTTTTCAATTTTGCTTTAAATGTCTGGTAAAAAGATTTAAATTATTACTTTATGGAGTTTTGAAAACATAATAAATTTAATTAATAATGCAAGGTCTTATTTCAAAAACTAGTCTAAATTTAGATAAAACTTTTAAGCTACGTAAGAAAGATCCTTTTCTATTTTATTAATAACCATACCCCGCAAAAAAATGCATTAATTTGAAGGTTAAAGTTATTGTTTTTAAATTTGTGATTTATATTACAACCTCTAAATTTCGAACCCCCATCAATCAATTCATATATGATTCATATCTTATTGCATATTGAATTTTTTTTTTTAAAATTCTAATTGAAATTAATTCACTTTAAAGAACGGAGGATTCACAAACTTTACAGTCAACCCCCTCTAAGTGCGCGCCCCTTGGGAATAAGTGATAATCCACACTTAGAGAAACAATGCCGTTGATTGCATGTGACACTAATAAAAAATACTACTGTCTTTATTACTATTGCCAAAAAAATTTATATTCATAATTATTGATTAAGATAAGATTCCATTGTAATTTACCTTATTGTATTTATTGTTTTTAAACTAATATATCTATCAAGAGAATTAACCAGTTAGGAATTAAGGTTAATTTATAATAGAAGTTTTTATTTTTCTAATGAAATGAAATTCTTGATTCATTCCTTATTTATAATAATTTCAACTATATAAACTACTCTGTCTGCTTTTGGGTCTGGGACACTTTACCGACAACACACGGGGTTACATTTAATCTCTACACAATCAAACAAACTAACAAAATGCTAAAATATCACGTTGTGTGTTGTCGGTAAAGTGGGTATCGGTAAAGTGTCCGGGTCCGAAAAAAGCCTCATTGTTGAAAATTAGGTTGAATTGATTTGTTGAAACAGTAGATCAGTCCTAAATTTGTACCACAAATTACACAAATTTTTTTTTATTAAATAAAAAAATTTTTTAAGTGAAGCAATTTTATGGTTCTAATGTATCTAAAAATTATATCATTTTTGTTTGCGGAATTATATTGGAGAGAAGCATTTCAATTCGTCGATTTTTACACACGTATCACAAATTAATTTATAACGTCAGTCGTACCATTTTTATTGGGAAACTATCACGTGAAAGTCATGTAAGTGCATTTAGAGAGGGAGTTTTATATAGATGGGAATGAAAAAGACTGTGCAGTGTGGGGGGAGGATGTGTGCATTTATCTCTAATCCCTAAGCTTGGAAATGAATGAGAATATGCATAGAGTGGGTGTGCACTTATAGGGGTTGACTGTAGCTTTTTTTTGCATATTAATATAGTGGAACCATTGGTCTAAAATCCCTTTTTTTTTCAATTCTATAGTTACATGTTATTAATGGCAAAGATTAGACCACTATCTAATACTCTATCATGTTTGCACTAAGATCTTGCAAATGACCAGGAAAATGATGAGATTTGTTGCTAAGTATTTATTTAAAGTATGTTTTGATGATATGACAAATTTAACTTTCTTGCAGTTTCAATCATATTAGAATTATTTATTTATTTTTGCTATATAAAGTTTGGCATAGAATTTATTATGCCCAAAACCTTACAATAAACAATAATCAAGAAGTAATCTGTTACATACAATAGGTGAGGAAATTCATTTATAAATTGTTACAGTTGGAACTTGATAAAATAAAATAAAGTATTGTTATAACAGAGTTTTTCTGGTTTACTTATTCATTATAATAATAATAAAAATCAACTTGGTAGGACCAATATTCTTATTGTTTTACTTTAATATTTAAGATAATTAAGGTTGCTTGCTGAAACCTCTTAATGACTGCTGAAACTCTGCTGAAACTCTAATAAACAATTAGTGTGTAACATATTGAAACTCTGCTGATTGATTTCTGGATAAGTTTGACAAGCAACCATAAAGACAATTATTACATATGGTTCCACATATAACTTGATAAGATGAATAACATCAGTTTATTGAAAGAAACTTCACTTTATTTTGTATAATTGTAAATGATTCACATATTGTTTCTATATCAAAAAATGTTAAAATGAAAAATACACTGACATTAAAAGAAAAATAGCATTATTGGTAATTTTATGATATTTAAAAGTCAAATTAAAATTTTTTGAAAAAGTTGCACTTG